CATCTAGTTTGAGATTCTGCACAGCAGTAATCATCATGCTTTCATATTTTAAGTCCCACTCGTCACTCATTCAAAAAGCTTATTAGAAGGTCCTTTCTTCAGAGAAATACATGTTTACAGGTATTATTGTATTTTCCAGTCATGGAAAGCTTTAGAACATAATGTTGACAATACTGCTGTAGCTTAGATCAGAGCTTCTTAAACCTTTTGCTCTCAGGACCCCTTTCCACTTTTAAAAACTATGGAGGAACCTAAAAAGTTTACTTTACTTTATTGTCACTGCACCTTGTACAACAAAATGAAACGCTATTTTCAGTGCACATCATGACCATGACCATGAAAGTAAACACAAACACACATAAAAAGGCTTGTTTGTATGGATTATATTTATCAACATTTACCATATCAAAAATTAAACTTGACATATTCACAGACTCCTATAAAAATAACAATATTAAACCTGTTAGGTATCTACCATATTTTTCATGAAAAATTCCTGTATTTTTATCAAATACAAAATAATGAGAAGAGGGACATTGTTTCAAGTTTTTGAAAATATCTTCAATGTCTGACAAATAATTTTGATTTGAGACTCCCAGGGGTTCTTGAACCACACTTTCAGAAACCCTACTTTACAGCAATGAATGACAGCTAATTGGGTTTCAAGCCACATAGGCCTCTGTGGGATCAGCCTCCCCCAATTCCTTCCCCCAAACATCAGTCAGTCAACAAGGATGAAATGCAACATTAACCTGGGAAACGTATATTTGCCTTCATTCGTGATGAAATAATTAATTTGATCTGGGCTCTTAAAGCCAATCCTGTTCCAAATCCCCATATACCAGGAAACGCTCTTACTAAGATGCCCAATTACTTAGCCTCTGCACTGGGGATCCCGCACTCTTGAGCTTCTTCCAGATGGATGAAGGGAAGTGATTTTGGGGTATCACCAGATGCAATGAGCCATTGAGACCCAGTTTGGTGTAGTAGTTAACACATCAGACTAGAAACTTAGTTCTAGTCCTCATTTAGGTCTGAATCTAGCAGGATGACCTTGATTCTGTAACAGCTTTGTTCCCTATGCCGTCTGGTAAACTCTCAAGATTCATTTTTCTAGCCATGTCCATGTATGCATCCCAGCTAGACTGTACTGCTTCTCGGTGTCATATATGAGGGTATATGCATATCTTTGTGCTTATTTATTCTGTCGTGGCTATGTAGTGTATATTGGAGGGGGTGACTGTTTGAGAAGTATATGCAACAAAATTTCATTTTAATGTATGCCGATTAGTGTACACTACCGTATATATTGTGCATGAGCCGTGGTGGCACAGTTGGTTAGAGTGCAGTACTGCAGGCTACTTCTTCTAGCTGCTGGCTGCCTGCAATTTGGCAGTTTGAATCTCACCAATCTCAAAGTTGACTCAGCCTTCCATCCTTCTGAAGTGGGTAAAATGAGGACCCAGATTGTTGGGAGCAAATAGGCTGAGTCTGTAAACCGCTTAGAGAGGGCTGCAAAAGCACTGTGAAGTGGTATATAAGTCTAAGTGCTATTGCTGTTCCAGTTTTGGATCTTGTGTAAATTTCTATTGAATTTAATACATCATGCAAACCAGATTAAGGTTTAATTTAATAATTAGGAAGCATGTAGGTCATGAAGTGTGGGAGACAGTGTAGCATGGGGGTTAAAAAGTTGCATTGGGATTGGAGATCCAGGTTTAGGTTTCAAGACACATGGTGGCCCAGTGGTTAGAATGCAGTACTGCAGGCTACTTCTGCTGGCTGCAGGCAGTTTGGCAGTTCAATCCTTCCCAAGCCTTCCATCCTTCCGAGGTGGGTAAAAGGAGGACCCAGATTTTGGGGGGCAAGAGACTGACTCTATAAACCACTTAGAGAGGCCTGTAAAGCACTGTAAAGTGGTATAGAAGTCTAAGTGCTAGTGCTACATTCAAAGTGACAATAAAGTTATTGTAAGTCCTTTCTAAGTTCTAAGCCAGTCGCTTTCACTCAGCCCTAACAAGAAGGCAATGGCAAGCTCCTTCTGAAATCTCGCCAAGAGATTTCTCCACAGTCACCAGGTGTCAAAACTGCCTCGAAGGTGCCAAAGAAACCCAAAATCGAACCCTTGCTCGAGGCTGCCAGGACCTGCTGGTGGGTCCAGATAGCCACAGAAGGACCCCAAAGCCTCATCGCTTTGGGCCCCATCTTTCCCTCCTTTCTAGGGCGGCTTCTGGAAGGGCAGGGACGGCCCAGTCTCCCGAACAAAGCGGGTCTCTCCCCACCCCTCGAAGGCCTCGTCTCCAAGAAAGCCTCGCAGTTGCTTACCACCCCTCCCACCACCCCACCCCGGGCAGCTCCAGCCCGTGCGGCGCCCCACCTGCTGCGTGAGCTCGGCCATTTCCTCCTCCTCCGGGCTCAGGGGTTGAGCGAGGAGAGGCCTCCGCTGCAAGCAAAGCGCCCCGTACAGTTTCCATCCCGACGCAGCTCCGGGGCTGTCGGAAAACGCCCTCCGGCCGGCGCAAAAACGGCTCCAAGTGCGGACGGAGAGTAGCATCCTGCCGAGGGGAGCCATTTTACCGCCAAAGGCCCACCATGCCATGCGGGGCCGGCCGCTTCCGCCGGGAGCGCGACTTCCGCTTCCGGTAAAACTTCCCTTCCAGGAAAGGGAGCAGTCCGGCCAAGCTGTTGGTGGCTTTGCTCAAAGTATCGTTTCGCTTTAAGGCAGCCGCCAAGGCAGGAAGTCTCCAAACGTGATCACTTTGAGACTTGTGAACTTTAACTCCCAGAATTCCTCAGGAAGTCCACAAATCTCAAAGTGACCACGTTTGGAGATCCCTGCTCCCAGGGTTTCCACCTGATTGACAGGCTGAGAAGTCAAGCTTTCTGGGGTCAGCCAAGACCCCTAGATCCGTGGGGGGGGGGACTCTTCTGGTCCACGTGTTGAGAGAATGGCTGGGACCCCGAACTGCCCTAATGTGCTATGTGCCGAGTCCCAGAGGTGCTTTTCTTTTTCTGGAGGCAACTAGTCTTTCTTGTTTTTTTTTCTTTGAAGATGTTTTGCTTCTCTTCCAAAAAGCTTCTTCTGCTCTGACAGGATGGTGGGGAATGGAAGGATTTGTGTTCCTTGCAGACAGCTGGTCATTTGCATCCTTTTAGAGGGTAGTTGAAGCACTTGGAGGTTTATCTGTGTCTTCAGGGTCAACTGAGTTGTGCAAATGGTTCCTGTAGTCTGCGATTTTTCCTCTGGAAATCCCTTCCTACTCCCACCCCATTCAAAGGGTTAGGGGTAGGGTTATATTTTCTGCAAATCTGTGGACTTTTACAGAGGTTTACCTATACAATCTGGGATGAACACCCTTCGAATTGTGTGAGAAGAGGAATGGATTTCCAGAGGGAAAAATTGCAGGCTGCAGGAACCATTTTCACTACTCAGGTGACCCTGAGGATACAGATTAACCTCCAAGTGCTTCAATGATCCTCTAAAAGGATGCAAATGACCAGCTGTCTGCAAGGAATATAAATCCTTTCATTCCCCACCATCCTGTCAGAGCTGAAGAAGCTTTTTGGATGAGAAGCAAAACATTTTCAAAGAAAAAGACAAGTCCAGTTGCCTCTTTAAAAAGCACCTTTGGGACAACCATGACCTGGATAACTGAGAATCTCTACAGACTTAGTGCTATGCTAAGCCAAGCTTCATTCAAAATCCAATCCAGGCCTTATCAGGATTGTAGACCTTGCCTGCAAGCGCCGTTCATAAGACTCCAAATGCAGAAGGAAAGCACAATAAAAAGCCTTCCCTTATTCTGTATTAATCATGGCTTAGTGGGACTCATATTCAGCATTCATATATCTTTTGGGTTCTGTAAAAGTAGATAGGCAAGGGTGAAAAAGGACTTTTCTACTATAAAACAATATTCCCCACAAACTACTGGAATTTCCTCTTTGTAAGGGGATTAATTAGACTTTGAATTATTTTTTTGTCACTTTGAATGTACACTAATCTGCATACATGAAAATGAAATTTTGTTGCATGCAGCTCTCAAGAGTCTCCACCTCCAATGTACATTACATAAACATTATAAATTAATAAAATATTCATATACCATGACAAAATAAACACAGAATCATGCACATACCCCTATATAGTATATGACACAGAGAAACAACAGTCTAATTGAACAAGAGCCAGAAGCGTGGGCTCCTATATTCATCTGGTCATTCCATCAACAATAGAACATAGAATATCAAAGAGTCGGAATGGACCTTGGAGGTCTTCTGGTCCAACCCCCTGCTCGAGCAGGAGACTCCCTTATAGTACCATTGCTCAATTGAGCTGCTTGGGATTCCCTCAAGGCCATTCCCCACAAGAGCCTAAAAAGCAGGGTTGACGGAAGAAAGTACCCAAAGGTACTTTTTTTTTTTTATTCCCAAGAGGCAACTTTCTGATTTTTCTTTTTGAAGACTTTATGCTTCTCATCCAAGGAGCTTCTTCAGCTCTGACTGGATTCCATTCCCCACCATCCAGTCAGAGCTGAAGAAGCTTCTTGACTGATTAGTGAAACATCTTCAAAGCAAAATCAGAAAGTCCAGTTGCCTTTTGAAGGAATGGAGGGGGAAACACTTTTGGGACAATCATGATCTGTCAGGGGTCTCCAATCTTGGCCACTTTAAGACTTTGCTGGCTGAGGAATTCTGGGAGTTGAAGTCCACGAGTCTTAAAGTGGCCAAGGTTGCAGACTGTTAGGGATGACCGAGAACCTCCATAGACGATGAATGAAGATGTTTCATACTCGGGAATACATCTCTAAAAAAAAACCAAATCGTACAACGCTTCTCGGCAGCCCTAAACCTGGTTAAACTTCCTCTCCGCCCCGCTTCAATTGTCAGAGAAGCGAAAGGGGAGACCAGCCGCCAGCGCCCGTACGGACGTTCCGCAGCAAGGGCGCGGCCATTGAAGGCTCGCCTATTTCTCCAAGTGGGCGCCGCCATGTTTTTTTTTTTTCCCGCTCCAGCCACGCATCGCGAGATTTGATCGGCGGCGGAGACTCTGCCCCTTTCCCCTTGGAACGCTCGGAGTCCCGGACCGCGGAGCGGGGCGGGGGAAAGACCATGCAGGCTGTGGTGGCCATCGCCCGGCGGGGGCTGTTGGGTGGCTGCTCGGGGTAAGGTGGGAAAGAAGCGGGTGGTCTCTAGGTCTTCTATGGAATGCAAGGGTCGGGCTCCTGCTTGTCAGCGGAGGAAGGCAGAAATCCAACCGGTCCAGACTTCCTGTTGCATTTCTGCCTCCCTCTGCCCCCCTCCTTAAACCTCCATGCACTGATGACCTTAGGGTCCCAGGTCAATTCAACGAGGATGATATGTGCATTACCTTGACTTGACTTGAATTTCACTTGAATTTGGCTTGAATTTCACTTGAAATTCACCTGAATTTCACTTCAATTTAACTTGAATTTCGCTTGGATTTCACTTGGATTTCACTTGGATTTGGCTTAACTTGAATTTCACTTGAATTTGGCTTGAATTTCACTTGAATTTCGCTTGGATTTCACTTGACTTGAATTTGACTTGAATTTGACTTGACTTGACCCATGGGTTGCAAAGGAGTTGGAGAACTACAGTTCCCATCATTCTGCCTCCCCAGGGCAAACGGTCTTCCCACCCTTTTAACTCCAGGGCGAGGACTGCTTTGGGGGAAGACTTCAGGCAGCCTTTCACAGGCAAAGGTCTGCTACCTACTCTTGACTGCAATCTCCACGCTTCCTGGGAATCCTGGATCCTGTAATCCCAGACCAGTTGCAAGTCTGTGAGGGCTGGCTGATGAGGAATGGAGCTCATTTGCTGCCTCCAAAGAAGAGAAATTGAGAAATCACACCAGACATTAGCCAGGGGGAAAAAAGACAGGGTTTCTCCCTCTCCCTCCCCCCCCCCCGCTCCCCCAAAAAACTTTAAGCATTAAAAAAGGTAATTGACAGGCTACCGCTATATCTGATGGTTTCTTTATTCCTTTTCAGCCCCTTGTTTTATTGGGTGGGCTGACAAAATGTTTGTTGAATTACTGTCATTGAGCTTAATGAAGTAGTTTAACTTTTGTGTTTTTACTGTGGAAACCTTAATTGTATGGGCATCAAGATTGGTCCTAGCTGGAAGAGGAAATCATGGAAGTAAGCAGCCATCCATTAACACTGCCCAGGTAGTTGGGTGTGCTGGAGTCCCACATCTGGAAGGTCAAATGTTGTAAAATTATCCTCTCTGCAGCTGGAAGCAATGGGCCAGCCTTGGCAGTTCATAGGAATTCTGCACTCATTCCTCAATACCCTGTTCTTAAATTTGGATCTCTTTTTTCTTTATTTGCAACTGCTCCAGCATCACCTTTTCTCGGAGTATACAAACAGGCATCCAGAGATTTCAAACGTTAGTGGAAAACTCGGACTCAGCAACAGACAAAGAGCTAGATTCCACACAGTCAAAGGGCTTCAGGTGAGTTAATGTCGCATTTTATGGGATGCAGGTAGCTGCTTATTTCTAGGAAAAATTATGGTGTGCATAATTGCAATAGTGATTGGGCATTTTGTGAATACTGGTATTTTGGAGTGGGGCAGGAAAGAGACAAATTGTGAAATGTAACACTTCAAAACCAGTTCCCACTATTCTGTCAGAGCTGAAGAAGTTTGATGAGAAGTGAAACATCTTCAAAAGAAAAAACACCAGTTGCCTTCGGAAAAAGCACCATTGGGACTTCAAACCAGTATGTGTTTCTCAAAAGTTACATTCTAAGGAATCCTTTAACAAAGATGTCACTTTGTCTCATTGTTTTCTTGCATATTTGCAATTTTTTTTAACCATCAAAAATGTCCAGGAAAGAAACAAGCAGAAAAAAATAGTCATGTTTGCATCAGTTTACATCAAGCATTAGAGAATTTATGAAGGTATATAACAGGGGAGTTAGGTTGCTTCAAGGAATTTTGCCAATGCAGAAACGGAACTCATAATATTTGGTTTTCCAAGTTTTGAAAACATTTAATTTTTCAGAAATTATGAGTTTTGCCATCATAGAATTATAATTCATATTTTGGTTTTTCAAATTTTGAAACATTTAAATTTTTCAGAAATTTACTTAACAATTTTTGCCTGACAGAATTATAATTTATGATCTTTGCCATCATAGAATTATATTTTTTGCCCCTAGTGATCACCTGTTTCTTTATTTTCAGAGCTTTTAGGCTGATCAGTATACACCTCCCAACTTTTAATTGGGGCTAAAACTCTACAGTATATTTAAAAACAACTACTACAGCGTGTTCCAGTGGACCCAAACCTCACAAATAAAAACATGGAACAACATCAAATGAAAAGCCCAAATGCATGATCCAAGAGGCAGTCAAAACAATCCAACCCATCAGCTTAATGGAACAGCCAGGTTTTCACCATCTTTCTAAAAGCCTCAAGAGCTTATTGATTCATATTTTTAATGATTTTGAGTTTGGACGAGAGCTGCATCAAAAGGTTGTCAGTCAAATTTCAGGAGAGGGAAAAGGCACTCCAGTTCCAACATCTTTTTTTTTTAAATCACTCTTTTCCTCCTGAACGCTTTGGGCTAGAATGAGAGACTACGTCTAGTTGTCTTTAGATGTCGTTATATAAATGAAATATACATTGCACTGCGCTATAATGCTCTTTATTTGATGTTAGCTTACTGTACTGTGTGAAACTGATTGGCTTTGAGTTTATGAACAATGGTTTACGGCTTAGTGTGTTCCAGTGCAGGCAAAATGCAGATTCTAGAGGGGAAAATTGAATACTGGTACAATCCTATTGTGTGAGCATCTTTGAACAAATATCATCTTTTAATGACCTCATAATCCCTTGCGGGGTGGAGTCTGGGAAACTGAATGGAGTTGAGTGTTTACTGGCCGGATGCCCTTCCTGTCACCAATGCAGAGCTTTGTTCAGCAGATATGTTATCATTGTGCCCAGAGAGAAATATTTGCCTCTACCTAGGATTGAACTCACAGCCTTCTGGTTGTGAGGCAAGAGCTCCACCTCTAGCCCACTGCACCACTCATCTTTGAACAAATATGCCCATTGATAATCTGATAAAAATAATCCTTACACCTCTTGAATATTGAAGAAGGGGGCGGGGGGATGCCTGGGCTGTTGAACTGGCTGGTGTGGTTACCTTCTCTCTTGTTCTTTTCAGCTATTTCCCTCCAGTGCCGGGAAAAGAAAGCTCCTTGCAGTGGGATGGAAAGAAGTTTGAAGAAATCCCAATAGTTCATATCAAAGCTACCTACAATAAGTAAGTGAGTGGAGGTTCTTTGTGCAGAATAGTTAGCAATAGCACTTAGATTTATATACCGCCCCATAGAGTTTTCTCTGGGCAGTTTACAATGTCAGCATTGTTGCCCCCAACAATCTGGGTCCTTGTTTTACCAACCTCGGGGGTGAGTCAGGATCGAACTGCTGACAGTTGGCAGAATTAGCCTGCAATACTGCATTCTAGCCACTGTGCTCATTTAATTATCTAATGCTACAGGTTTTGTGGGTGGTGATTCAAGGACACTGGTCTTTAATAACCTAAGTTTCTTTCAAGAGCAAACTGCCAGGTGCAAAATGCAAGGTGTATTTATAGTGAAGTGTTTTATAGTATAGTGTTTTATTGTGATGCTACATAATGCCACCCAGAGTTGCCTTGTAGTTAGATAGGCAGATAATAAATTTTATGGGTGGGTGGGTGGATGGATAGAAGATAGATAGCCAGACAGACAGACAACAGGGGATGCCTGCTTGTTTCCCTTCTAACAGAGCAGTCTAGTCTCCAGTTCTTTGCTTCTACCTTTGCCTGATCTAAACCCTCATGTAATTGCATGTAAATGATGACAATAATTTATTCTTGTACCAGGTTGGCTAAAGGCAACCTAAGTATCAGGAAGCTTATTAGAGTAGAGAAATTTCTGGCGACAAAGGTTACCATTAAATTTGCTTTGGGAGTTTGGGCAGAGTTCAAGGTTGTAATTTAAATGGGGCTGGATTTTTATTTGTTTCTTGGGCAGGGCTGTTTTGTAACCTAAGTTAAAGCTCTTGTAGAACTTGGACGGAATGTATGTGGGAAAGACTTGGAGAGAAGATGAAGAGAATCTGCCTAGGGAATGGTCAGATAAGAGATAGCATATTCCGCAGCTGGATGGCGGACAGAGCAAAAAGCTCAGAAATAATCCTCCCTATTTTCCTGGGTGTAAAGGAGATGGCAGGAGATTTGTACTTTCAGACTTGCATTAACTATGCTGCATTAATTAGCTTTACAGTAAAGTACAACCAATCTGATCGTATTTTCTCTCCGTTCCATCTGGTAAGATTGACAGTGCTACAGTCTTCATGTTATTTCCTGTCTTAGAACAGCGAGCACTAAATTGAGTAATTTTCAGTAATAATTCTCAAGGAAACTTCTGAAACTGACAGAGAAAGAATCTCAGTGGCCACAAGTTCACTCCTTTGAGGATTAATTGCATCCTTCCGAATGGTCAAATGTCTAAAGCAGCCTGCTCAAACCTGGTGCCTATCAAAGACATTGGAACTGGAGCTCAGCAAACATATCGACTGGACCTGTTAAAAACTGCACTCTGAGCACATCTGGAGGGCAGTCAGTTGGGAAGAATTATCCTAGTTTTTAGTCCATTTTGGAATAAGCAGTGTGTCTCAAACTGGCAGTGATTCTGTTCATTTTTTTGCATCCTAGTTCACCCATTTGCTGTCTCCATGGGAAGAACGCAAGAGCTGAATTAAAATATTAGGGGTTGTTGTTTTCCAGACAGTTTTTAATGATTTTGAGTTTGGACGAGAGCTGCATCAAAAGGTTGTCAGTCAAATTTCAGGAGAGGGAAAAGGCACTCCACTTCCAACGTCTTTTTTTTTAATTACTCTCTTCCTCCTGAGCGCTTTGGGCTAGAATGAGAGACTACGTCTAGTTGTCTTTAGATGTCATTATGTAAATGAAATATACATTGCACTGCGCTATAATGCTCTTTATTTGATGTTAGCTTACTGTACTGTGTGAAACTGATTGGCTTTGAGTTTATGAACAATGGTTTACAGCTTAGTGTGTTCCAGTGCAGGCAAAATGCAGATTCTAGAGGGGGAAATTGAATACCGGTACAATCCTATTGTGTGAGCATCTTTGAACAAATAGGGCAATCCAGAAGTATCACGAGAATATGGATTTCTAACCAAATGTTGTTCCTATCATCCCATGACACCTGTAGCACTCACATCCAGGTTTTCACAGCTGAGAAAGTCCCTCTGGTCCTACTCACCTGTGGCTACATGGGGTTCAAGAATGCAAAGAAATCGACAGCTCTTGCAGCACAGACAACTGGAATTGCAGCAGGAAATGTAAGTTAACATCCTGTTCTTCGAACCAATCTTTCCCTAAGTTAAATGGGCAAAATGTCAACTCATAAAATATTTATCTGGTCTTTTTAGAGTTGTCAACAGAAACGGTGGTGGGAGCAGTGCAGCAGCTTGCAAAACCAAAACTGCATTCCATAAATGTTTTCAAAGATTGTAACTAGGTGACTGAAGTTTCTGCCGCGCAAAATTCTAACTGGAGAGCATGATTGATGATCCTTGGCTGTGGATGTGTCCTATTGGAGAATATGAATTATGATACACCCAGGGGTAGGGGGAAACCAGGGTCAAGAGTGACAATGAATTGAGTCAGAGTTGGCTACACCCAGGTAGTGCCGGCATGTTAAATCTCAATAAATCCTTTTTAAGTTTTGGAAGTTTGGCTCGAGACTCATGACAAATGGGGGTAACTTCTGGAATCCTGACTTATCAGGCTGACCAGAATTGGCTGAATCAGGCTTCTTAAATCAGCAACTCTTATTTAACTTCCAAGGAATCCTTATTATTGTGATCCTAATATTTGCTTGCTGTTTGAGGCACCCCTTTGAATCATTGTTGGATTCTAAAATCCAATTGCTTATACTTAGATAAGATGATCAGAGAACGATCACAAACAAATGATTATAAATGAACAGAGACCAAGATCAGGGACTGCTTGGTTTTATATACAGTATTAACCCTAGAATCTGAAGGATTTGCCTAGTTTTTGGTTTTATGCAGCAAAAGGACAGAACCTTATTAATCCTAGATTTATTGCATCTTTTAACCTGTACCAAGCAATGGGAAACCCATTTGCAGAGAAACTTTGCTCCTTCTTTAGGGAGTAACTGTGACTCACTTTCTGGTCCTTTCTCAAAAAGAGGGAACAGATGAAGAAAGGGTTAAAACTGTACTTTGGAGAGGAAGTCAAATATTCTAGTCTGACTAATCCACGCTGCTAGATTGAATCCATTGTGGATTCACAGTGGCTAGGTTCACATATGCCCTTAAGCCAGACCTCCCTCCAAAGGGACTTCAGAGGTATGAGTAAGGTGTTTATGCTAAGTTAGTCTTTGTTTAAGTTGGAACAGAGAATTTCATCTTTAAGCAACTACTTTCCTGCTCAAAATTGACAAAACTAGTCAGTTTCACATCTGCTTTTCTTCCTTGCCCTTTGCATACAATGCAAATGCACCAGCAGCCACCAGCCCACTTTGCAAACAGCCCGGTGAATTCTCCACTCTGTGTCTGTTTACTCTCTTGCAATCCCTTCCTCTCCCATCTCTCTCTCTCCTCTGCAAGGGGTGGAGGGGGTGGGGGGGAAACAGGTCATGTACAGGACAATGCACACTGGCCATAATGGCAATTGTGTGACTGACGGACGTTGCTAAATTCATAAATGCAGACATAAGTTGTAAAGTTACTTTTTCAGCCCTGTTGTTAACTTTGAACATCACTGAATAAAGCATTCGTTAATCGAGGACTACCTCTGCAGTCAGATCAATGCAAAGCAGAACAGTATTTGCAAAACACAATCTTGTATTTTATAAGGTGTCAGGTAAATGAAAATATCGTAAATCAAGGACTCCATGGGCCCAGATGGAGGGTCTTTAAATAGCCACTAGATGGCAGTCTTAGCCCAACAGACTTACTGTAACCATTGTCAGGCTTCTCTGGAAATTCCCATTAATCATTTTGGATGTAGGAAACATTTAAAAGAGCTATGGCATGGCAGATACGGAAGGTTTCCAGCTGAGTATTTTAATTTCCCCATTCTAAATGTAGCAAGATTCTTGTGTACTGCAAGCAAGCCATTTCTTCCACAGTGGGTTGAATGTAAATGACTTTTGTAAGTACTCTTGTGTGCGTTTTCAGGTCTGGAAAATGATGGCAAATAGCAGACTTCACCAAATCTCTGGACATGTAGGACTTCAGCACCCAGCATTTCAGCCAAGATAATCAGTGGGTGCTTTGACTGGAAGTCTAGAAGTGAATAGCCAACCCATTTGTGGGAGGTGCTGGTTGATCAAGAGTGATTTTGCTCAGCCACAAATCCAAAAAAGATTCCAGCCTTCCTATTTATACAGGACAGAGATCCTAGATTTCTGCAAAGCACCTTTCATCACTGCTCCCTTTTCCCCCAGTTGCTCCTGTTCCACTAGTTGTTCTACTGGGGGGTTGGGGGAAATGAGCAGTTCCGCTGAAGCTAGGATGACGGTGGCGATGGCGATAAACAGATCACAGAGTATCAAGATCTGAAAATCAGAATTGAAGGATTATTGCCTAAACCGGCTCTGGTGGCCTCTGTGGTTATAAGCACCCTGGGTGCCATACCAAAAATAAAAAAGTCTCAATGCCTAGGGAGGCCAATACCAGCTAAAGAACTGGCAGCTGTGACTTTACACCGCTGTGAGCAATTAGTTTATTAAACTCCGACGCTGCCTGACTCTGAGCAGCTCTGAACAAAGAAAGCACCGTAAAAATCAATAATGTCTTTTGCTCGAAAGAAAATAGCGGTCTTTGTCCCACTGAGTAGAAGCTCCTATTGAGAGGAAAGAGAATATAGGATCTCAGTTGAATGCCGGAGTAGCGGTCATTATACTCTTTGGTTCATTGCATAACGTGCTTCTTCCCTCTCTCCCTGTCTAGAAAGCAGCGAAAAAGGGCGTATATCACGTTCGAGTTGTGGTGAAAGGCCTGGGACCTGGGCGGCTGGTAAGCACTTCCCGTTTCTTTGTAGTCGTTCTCCAAGTGAGAGGGAGTCTTTATTGGCTGAACTCCTGCGTTTATCAAGGGCCACGGTGATGGAGTGAATGTCACTTAAGTGGGAGTATCGTGCCAGGAAGCTGAGAAAATCAACAATTGCATGCCCTGGAAGCTTCTCCTCAATTTCAAACAGCCTTCCCCATCTGCTGTCCTCCAGCTGTGTTTGACCAGAAGCCCAATACTTTCTCAACGATTTGGCATTCTTCGTGCTGGCAGGAGTGATGGAAACCAAAATCCAACTCATTGTTGTGGTCCGCCGGCGACCTGTGGAGCTGGCAGCAGAGTCGGACAGTGGAGAGGACCATGGGCCAGTCCGGGAGTCTGGGGAGGGCTCAGTCGAGGGATCTACATCTGACACAGAGATGGGGCCAGAGCCATTTGAGAGTTATGTGTTGACTTCAGAGCCTCCAGAATCTGACATCAGCGAGGCAGAGGAACGGGGGAAGTCTGTTCCCAGCGCGTGCTTGCGCTGAGCTGCCAGATGGCAAGAACAGTTAAGACAAAAGGGGCGACTCGGGAGTAAGGTTTGGAGATGATTGGCCCCTTCCATAAGACATAAAGGAGGAGCAAAGGGACATGAGCCTCTGCAGGAAGCAACTTTGTTTGTTCTGGTCGGTTTAAAATCTAAAGCTCCATGTTGACTGTGCTCCGTTTGGTCTTGTACAGCTAATTGGTGATTTAGTCATTGGCAGCATTTCAAGGGAGGTAAAGGTGGGTGCTTATCAGCCTCATCCCAAAAGACTGTGGCAGACTTCTGTTGGACTATTCATAAGCTGTTTGGGACTCATTACGGCTGTGAATGCATATAAAAAACAAGGTTTGGGGGAACAGTGTGTGATTGTTACTATCTCAGGAAGCCTTGGTCAGAACACTCATCCAGGGGAATGACCAGGTTGGAGATGGCTGCTGGAGCTAATCTGGCATGGCAGCACCTTGGCTATGATGGCAAAAAGCTAATTGAGGGGGCTGCCAATGGAGCATTTGTCTGCAGCTGCTTAAAGCAGCTACATCTTTTTTCCTCTCCCCGTTTGCACCACTGCTCTCTGCAGTTGCAGTGTCATCCTGGGAGAAGCTATCATTAATGTAAAGACAAGTTGGGTTTATGGAGCTGCCGATGGGTGTAGCAATTCAAACAAAACACACCCCAAATGTTAAAAAGTTACGATATTTATGTAGTTTGCTTACCAAGCACATCTTGTAGGTAGTTAGCTTATTTATTATGTTTATATAGTTAAATAAATAAATAAAAGATATTTATTTAGTTAGCTTTACCAGCACACCAGAACAACTAGACACAAAACAACTAATTCCCACAACTCTGTCAAACTCTGTAACACTAAGACTGTATTACTATTATTCTTCTCATGCTTCTTATTACCTTCCTCCTTCTACTTATGACTACAACCTTATTGCTTGTATCTCTATGATTTATATTGTTTTATTTACTTTCCTGGTATGATTTTGATTGCTTATTTAGTATCCTATGACTATCACTAAGAGTTGTATCTTACGATTCATGATGAAAGTATCTTTTACGTACACTGAGAGCTTATGCAAATTCCTTATGTGTCCAATCACACTTGGCCAATAAAGAATTCTATTCATCTAAATTATATTAAAGTAACCAAAATACCTTTAAACAATCCCCAAGACATGTCACAATTTTTGAGCACCCCTAATGTTTGGAAATTGAAAGTGAAAAATTTTGATATGCCCTAGCCTTAGTGTGTATATATCTCCAGCAACAGCAGCCTTTTGAATCTGAAGCAGATAATGCTAAACTAGATCAACCAATTGTTTCCTAAATATAAGGCAGCCTCCTTTGATTTCTAAATTGTTCCGGGGGGGTGGGGGTGGGGGAGAATAGAGATATGCAAAAGGTAAGATGCTAGATATTTCAGGCATAAAATGGGAGATGCTGAAACTCCAGAACCTCTAATTCTTGGCAAAAAAACAGCCGCAAGTTCTAAACAAGCTCTGTCTCTTGTTTGAAAATCTTGAACTAGCTTCTCACATTTCACAAAGGTATAGAGATGGTAAAGCTAATCTAATATTGTATCCAGCAAAGCAAGATTTAGGGCTTTGTGGGTTATCCAAACTCAAGTAGTTATGGTTTATCTGGGAAACTGTGCTTCAACAGACTGACTTAGCATTCCATGTTGATATCTCTTGTTTCCCTTTCAGGCAGCCATCCAAGGCTTAACCTTAGGGGGGCTGGAGGTGATCTCCATCACGGACAACACGCCAGTACCGCACAACGGCTGCCGCCCTCGGAAAGCACGAAGGCTGTGAGAGGAGTGGAGCAGCAAAGAAAAAGAGAAGAGGTTGTGACCGGATCTCAAATAGTTTATGCAGCCATCTTCAGGCAGCTGTTCCTCTTTCTGCAACTTTCAAAACAGAGACAGGCTTGAGGTTTGCCCCCGTAGGAAGGCAACCCAGAGACTGTATTTATAAAAATATAAAGAAAAAATTGCCTCCTATCTCAGAGGGGCCCTTTGAATTACACTTTGGTTTGGGGCTGTTTTCCACTTCTAACGTTACGGACGGAATCATTTTTTTACCATCATTTTCAACTCAATCCAGGTTGGTTGTGATGAGCAAGTCTTTTTTCCAGTTGCAAAATGGGCCATCTGGAATCTCTTTTCTGTCATCTACAGAATTCCCCACTGTGCCATTTGGGGGTCCAACTCCATGTCTCTTATGAAGAGTTCACAGATCCACTTGCCAGGGGGGAATATTTTATGGCTTATCAGCAAATACAGAGATCTCATCTCTACTAGAATTTCTCTATTTAGTCGGTTAGGAAAAATCAGGGAGTTCAGAGCAGTTCAGTAGGAAGTATGAAAAATAGTTGTCAGTAAGCCAACATTCATGAACATCTTGCATTCTGGACCTTATAACTCAGTGCCTCCCAAATCTCAGTAAATTATTCAAAATTGGGGGAAAGTATTTTTTTCTTTAAGTAAATAAATGAACCCATTACCCAATCAAACCAGGAACATTTAAAGATTGTTACCTGTACTAAAATTTACTCCCAAATCTCCTGCAATCCCTTGAAGATGAAAATTTGTGGAAATACGGGTGGTTATTGGTTGATTTCACATTAAGATCGTTCAGCGATAACATTTTTTATAATGCAGACAGTTCTCAAGTTACGGCCATTTGTTCAGTGACTGTTTGAAATGAAGGGACTTAATGATTGGTTCTTGAATTTCAATAAGACTTTCTGATTAGTGCTTTGGGAAATTAAGGAACAAGGTTGGTAAGCATAGTTCTAGCCAATTTATTCAGGCAGTTTCTTACGATCACAAGAAGGCTGCTTTCATGTCTATGGTGTGTCACAGAGACAGATTTTTTTACCATCAGTGGTGAAATCACAGATGACTGATGACTGGAACATATCAGGAATTATTCTGTGGAAGCATCTATGGGGTGACTTGAAAGAAAGCAGGTTCTTTTATTCTAGGTTCACACAACATACACTGGGGATCCCCAGTGCCTCAGGGAAAGCTGGCAAGAGTTGGCATCATGATAGCCAAGAATACTTCTTGCCTGCTGCCGTTTTATAAAAGTAATGATAGTTCAACTGGCACCACACAGTCGTAAGCTGGTTTATGTACCACAAGGGATCTTGTCCTGTTTCCGCTTAATGCAGAGAACGTGAGCCCAACCAACTGTAGCTCATCCAATAAGCCACAAGTTAAACAAACCACAGAGAAGTGAGGTTCACGGGCTGGGTTTCCCTTGGAAAAACTGATCCAAGATAGTAACTCTGCTGCTTCAGAAGGGTGCTAAGCTTGTTAGCTTTTCTCCTGCAAATCCAACAAAGAGCTGATACAGATTAACACAGTTGGAAGGGACCTTGCAGGTCATCTAATTCAACCCCCTGTACAAGCAGGAGACCCTACACCATTTCTGACAGATGCAGTCCAGTCTCTTCTTGAAAGGTTCCAGGGATGAAGCTCCCTCAACTTCTGAAAGCAAGCTGTTCCATTGATTGATTGCGCTCACTGACAGAAAATTTCTCCTTCTGTCGAGGTTGAATCTCTTCTTGTTCAATTTCCACCTATTATTCCTTGTCTGGCCTTCAGGTGCTTTGGAAAATAGCTTGACCCCTTCCTCCTCTCTGTGGCAGCCCCTCAAATATTGGAAGACTGCTATCATGTCTCCCCTGGTCCTTCTCTTTACTAGACTAGCCAAGTCCAGTTCCTGTAACCATTCTTCATATCTTTTAGTCTCCAGTCCCCTAATCATCCTAGTTGCTGTTCTTGGTTGCATTGGAACATCCCCCAAATTTCTGCTGCAAATTAGCCGTAACCTGGGACAATAAATCAATCATAAACAGCCTGGATATAGAGCATTATCTCTTCCCAACCTGCCAAGATCCACAGGGATGGCTGTTGAGAAGGTTGGCGAATTAGGCCAGTCATCTCGGAAAGCAGCATTTGGAACCAAGACCAAGATGCTTGGAAGTTTTAGCAAGCATGCTTCATTCTTAGTCATGAGTGCTAATGGGTCCTACGTTGTTCCCTTTGGCCCAGCTGTCAGAACTAAAAGAGAGTGTTACGCCTGCCTGCCTCCCTCCCTCCCTTTTGATTCCATTATTCCCCTGATGGGAGGGGCTGTTGGGGGGGGGCTCCTCTGGTTTCTAATGTTGTAATCAACTCTGCTCTTTAAAAGAAAAGGGCACCATAGCAACCAGACAGCTTTCCTTTTTTTCTTTTAACTCCTTCCTGGCTTTGTTATGTCAAAAGGCAGGGTTCTTTTCCTTTCTCTACCTCCCCCCCCCTTTTTTTTTTAAAAAAAATCATCTTTTGCTTCCAACGCGTTAGAATTCGAACCCTTTTTGCCCAGGGCGAGATTTGGATAAATGTTTTTCCCTCGGAGCAAAATTGGGCCAGGGATGGCACGAGAGATCGTGGTCTACAGAGGCTGCTTACGAAAACCTGTACGTACTGGTGGGGAGACAGCCAAGCTAGAGGCGAGAAGCGCACCCTTGCACGTACACACACAATTACGGTGATTATTCCACTAACAATTTGAAATGCACAGTGTGTGGGAAGGCCGGTTAGAGTTCCATTTACCTCTTACAATAAGGGAAACGGGGGAATAATTTTGCAGCTCAGTTAAATTGTCGCAGGTATCATACCCTTCAGTTTTTAATTTGCAGGGTATTTAAAAAAAAAAGCGTGCGAGATTAAATCATCTTGATTGGAGGTAGGCTATTTCCCCCACTCTTCCCACTGTGATTTTTTTTGCTGCATTTTGCTAAGCACCGCTACCAAAAGCGATGGCGATTTCTCCCTTTATTTTGTGGAATGTCGGCCATTGGCCTGGTTGCCTAGGGTGAATAAGAATAACTTAAAATGGAAGAAACCAGTGGTGCGTTTCCAAATAATTTATCACCAATTCGGTGGGTGTGGCTTGATGGGCGCGCTTTGCACACATGCACACACTTTGCACGCACACACCAAACACATACTTTGCACAGGCGTAGAGGCTTTCTGACTCACCTCCTGCAATCCTGCACTTTCCCTGTCACTTCGGCAGCTGACGCACGGCAATCTGCTGTGCTGCGGGAAGCAGCTGCACTTCAAAAGCAGGGAATAAAGGTCGGTATGGGAACCCGGGTGGGCGGGTTGGCCAAACAACAGCTCAGAGATAACCGGTTCGGTTTCGGCTGATCTTTGGCACTACTGGTACACCAGAACCGGGCCAAACCGATAGAATACCACAATCTGAAGGAAACATGGAATCTAGTATAGTGGTCGCCAACCAGTGGGCTGGGGACCATTGGTGGCCCACGAGAAAATGTTGGTGGTCTGCAGAGAAATGTCACCCCCAAAACAATCCAGGCTGTGCGGGAACACAAGGATGCACTGCCCACATGGCCTGCGAGAACACAAGGCTTGCATCGCCTACATTTGAACACCAGGTACAAAGGGGAGGGGGGAAAGGGCGGAGGGGGAGAAACTTGCCCCATTCACCCCACGCGCCTCATATGGCCACCAGGCTGTTTCTTTCTGCTTCTGCTTTTGGCTGTATGCAAGGAAATCTCCAAAAGTCTCTCCCCCCTCACCCCAAACTCTGCCAGAAATGAGTCTTTGGGACCCTGCAAGGCATCCTGCTCCAAGAAGCTGCGCCAACAAAGACTCATTTCTGGCAGAGTTTGAGGGAGAGAAAGAAAGACTTCTGCTGCTTCTGCTGCTTTTCTTGCATGAAGACAAAAGTCTCTCTCTCCAAGAACAGAGCTGGAGACGGTATCCTGCGATCCCAAATAAAGAATGATCGATTGGTAGGAAAACGAGGTGGGGAATTTTCCTGCAGCCACCGTTGGCCAAAATTCATATTAGTGGTCCGCAAGATTTAAAATTATGAGTTTGGTGGTCCCTGAGGTCCAAAAGGTAGGCGATCCCTGATCTAGAAGATATTCTGCTTTCAAGATTGTTGATGTATCTCACTCAGAATCATAGAAGGATGAGGCTGGAAGGGACTTTGGAGGCCTTCTAGTCCAACTACCTGTCCAAAGCAAAGAGACCTGATATCATCACTGGGAAGACGGCTGCCGAATGTTTTCTTGAAAGCCTCCAGCAATGGGGCACCCATAACTCCAGGAGGCAAGTTGTTCCATGGATTAAATAACTTCTCATTGTTAGGAAATTCTTCCAAAGCACTCAACCTAGTAAAGCATACGACGACTTTAGGAGCTGATGCCTTATGGTAGATAACATTAATTTTACCTTTGGGGTATATGTGCCAATAATGTCAGTGTAAGCAACTATTCTGAGCTCTTGATATCATTGGAAAGACCCATGGAATTAGCCCTAGCTGTATGATGAAGGAATTCACACCGCCCAGTCTACATTGTGCCTTTTCTATATTCAGAATTGGGGTGGGGGACTGATTTAGACATTGGTGTGTGTACTTCTTTTGTCCTTTAACACATCTATGGTGAGAGCTGAACCATGGATTATTAAACAACTAAGCATCAGAGACTGGAAGAGCGTTGCTGGATCAGGTCATAAATTCCAGTAGTCTGCACCACGTTGGACAACTGGATGCATTTTGGAAGCTCTCAAAGCTTGGGATGGAAGATGCCATTTTCCACAATTGCTCCTCAGCCAGCAGCATCTACACTCTGTTGCCTATAATTCAGAAGGTAGCAAATAGCTATCAATACGTAGCAGCCATTGGGAGTTTGATCCTACATAGATCCATCCAATGCAGATTGGGTGGTATGTACATTTAAAGTAAGGTAGACTTTGGGGCAGTTGGCCATGGCTCAAACTGTAGGGTAGGTTTGTCACCTTCTGAAATAATTCAAGGCCAATTCATGTATCGTGATAGTTACAATGTGATTCAGCTATTTGGATCGAGCCTGACACGAACTTCAGCCAGTCTAGTTAAGTAAAAAAAAAAAACAAATCAGTAAGTTTTGTTTAAAAAAATAGCTTACACTCTATTGCAGT